GGTGGGTAGTACTGTGGTAGCTGAAAAGGAGCACAAAAACCAGATTGAGTTGAATTAAGAAGTGAAATGCAGATAAGTTTTGTTTTGTTTTTCAAAAAGCTTTGCCTCTGTAGGAAGGAAGAGGTTATAGAGTCATTTTTATCAATAAAAAGACATTGACCAACTGAGAGTACAATTTTAGTAGAGAAATAGGGTAGAAGCTGAATTTGGAGCAGCTTAGTATGAGTGAATATGAATAGAAGATACAGGGAATATGGACTTCAGAAAATTTTGAAAGTAGAAGGAAGAGATGTCTTCATTATTTTGGTTATTTAAAGGAAATACATTCAAATAAGTTAAAAAAAATACAGAACTGAAAACAACAGAAATTCACCTGAGAATATACCCCTGTGCCTTAACTATAGTACTATAGTATGAAATTATACTATAGTATAATTTTTTTTCACAATTATAAAAAGCAAAACTTACCCTAAGTCTAAGAGTTTCCACATCTGCATATGTGAATAGGCTTAAAGATTTCCCCCACCTTCATTACTAAAATTCTATTTATTGAAATTTTCTCTTATGAGTCTTAGAACTGGACACAGTAGTTCAGAAAGCCTTTGACCAGTGCTAGGAAAAATATGAATGTTGCCTTTGTAGTTTTGCCAACAATCTTATATTAAGGAAATTTGGAACCTAGTGGGATTTTAGTTCACATAAAGTGCAAGAAAAAAACAACCCTATCAAAAAGTGGGCTAAGAGCATGAATAGACAATTCTCAAAAGAAAATATACAAATGGCCAACAAACGTGAAAAAATGCTCAATATCACTAATGATGAGGCAAATGCAAATCAAAATCACAATGCGAAACCACCTTACTCCTGCAAGATTGGCCGTAATAAAAAAATCAAAAAATAGTAGTTGTTGGCGTGGATGTGGTAAACAGGGAACACTTCTACATTGCTAGTGGGAATGTAAACTAGTACAACTGCTATGGAAAACAGTGTGGAGATTCCTTAAAGAATAAAAGTAGAGCTACCATTTGATCCAGCAATCCCACTACTGAGTATCTACCCAGAGGAAAAGAAGTCTATATGAAGAAGATACTTGCACTTACATGTTTATAGCAGCACAATTTGCAATCACAAAAATGTGGAACCAACTCAAATGCCATCAGTCAATGAGTGGATGAAGAAACTGTGATATATATATTTGTATACAATTTATAATGATTATAACAATTTATAATGATTAAATCTATATATGATGGAATATTACTCAGCCATAAAAATAATGAATTAATGGCATTCACAGCAACCTGGATGAGATTGGAGACTATTATTTTCAGTGAAGTAACTCAGGAATGGAAAACCAAGCATCGTATGTTCTCACTCATAAGTGGGAGCTAAGCTATGAGGGTGTAAAGGGTTAAGAATGACACAATGGACTTTGGAGACTCAGGAAGGGTGGGAAGCAGGGGGGTGGAAGATAAAAGACTACAAATAGGGTGCAGTGTACACTGCTCAGGTGATGGGTGCACCAAAATCTTACAAATCACCACTAAACAACTTACTCATGTAACCAACCACCACCTGTTCTCCAATAACCTATGGAAATAATAAAGCAACTAGTACTAATAGCAAGGATGAAAATCCAGGCCTCTTAATGTATGGTGTTCTTCCTACTATGGCTTGACAGCAGAACAAAGACAAACCTTCTAGCAGCCTAAAAAGAGTCAGTATTTTAAAAATCTGATAAGTTAAGCGTTGAGTATTTGTATTATAAAGCATTCATCCCAATATTATTTAATAGCAAATGAGTTATACATTTAAATTTTTATATAAATTGTGAAGTTACACATTTAAATGTGTTCACAAATAACTTTAGGAAAATATTAAATGTGTAAATTATATATTTAAAATAATTGTCTTAGAAATTCTAGATTGCCTAGCTTTTGATTTATTATAATTGTTGGAACCTTTAGATGTGCACTATTTCTGCTAATAGTTGTTTCCTATTAAGTACTTTGAATGTGCTCTGGCTAAGCCCTTTGTCTTGATTTTCTCATTTAATCTTTACAACAACAATAAGAGATAAGTATTCACATTATGAGAAAACTAAACTGAGTGATGCCATCAACTTGGAAAAGGTAAACAGGGTAGAGCTAAAATTATAACCATTTGATTCCAGAGTCTTTGCTTTGCATAGCTATGCTGTTTTATCATTAATTTAAGCTTCTGTTTAATATAGTCGTTTTAAAAATATATCATTTGGATTCTATTTGTTTCATTTTTAATTGATATGTAATTGTACATATTTTTGGGGTAATGTGATATTTTGATACTTGCATACAATTTATAATGGTTAAATCAAGGTAACTGGGATATCCATCACCTCAAACATTTCTTTTGTTTATGCTAAGAACATTCCAGTTCTTCTCTTCTAGTTATTTTGAATGACACATTATTGTTAATTGTAGTCACCCTACTGTACTGTCAAACACTAGCTCTTATTTCTCCTATCAAACTATATTTTTGTACCTACTAACCAACCTTTATTCATAACCCTTTATAACCTCTTTGAAAAGAAGTTGGTTAATGGGTTTATTTGCTTCATTTTGAATTTAAACCTAATATAGCCATGTCCTCATACTCAGTATGATTTTTGTTGGGTCATTGATCATTGATGAGGATGTTAAAACATACTCCAGTTGAGAATTTTTGCCAGATTCCTGTGGAATGCTTGGTGGCTCTTTAGGGGTTTTCTTTCTTACATTTAAGGCAGAAAATGTTGAATATATCCAATATGTTGAGTACTGGAAACTTTTTAGAGTAATAGAAAACTTTATGAAACACAAATAGTTAAAAGTAGAGGAATCTGAGATATTTTAAACTGAGACTACCAGAATATTTTATAATGTTTTGCCAAATAATAGATTTGTACCTTGTTGGTAACTATTTTAAACTATTGAAGATATTGTAACCCTTGTTACTTGCTTTTCCTTTGAAAATGACGAGACTACATTTTCTCCCCTTTGTGACTCTGCTATAACATTTTTCCCCGCTCCCTAAATTTAGATTTAGAATTATTAAGGTATGTCTCTTTTATGGAATGCTTGACATAGTGTCCTTTGTTAGCTAGTCGCCTTTCGATAGTGTACTGGTAATAGTAAAAGCATTTCAGGTAATTTTCACTGGGTAAATGCACATTTAGAGGAAGTAGTCTCAAGTTTGTGAAGAGGAAGGATAATAGCTGCTTTTAATAAAGTCTAATATATGCTAAACTTCTATTTATCTGGAAGAAAAGTATCACTTTTTGAGTTATGCTTTACCTGAAAGTTGGCTAAAAAATGATTTACAGTATTTGATACCTTAATTTTAAATTAGCAATTTAAATTATCGAATCCTAATATGATTTTGTTGATCTCAGTACCATTTGCAGCATTTAATGGTTTTCCCTAATATGCAACCACCTATTAAGGTACTTCTTGTGAGTAAAAAATAAAGTTAGCAGCCAATTTGCAGATGTTAGGATATGGTTTGTTCATGTAACAGCTGAATTTCTATATAAATTGCATGGAAAATAACAAAATATAAAGATGTTTCCATTTTTATAATGATACTGTGCTTGTAATTTATTATTGCAATGGCATGGTTAAAGACTAAACTGTGAACCAGTGGAAAATTAGTTGGTCCCAGGAATTTTAGCTAAAATCATTTGAAAATACTTAGTTGTATAAAAACAGTGTCATCTGAAATAGTAAGTATTCAGTAAATGTGAGCTGTCAGTTTATAGACATCATATTTAATCCTCCTAACAATTATATTAGTTAATATTATTATCCTAATTTTACAGATAAAATAACAGGTTTATCATAGTTGAGTAACCCATCTGAAGTCAAGTAGTCAGAGCCAGGATTCCAACCAAATGCTTCTGACTTCAGGGCCCTTGTTCTTAGCTGGTAGACTAGATTGTGATGAACTAAGGTTTGACACTAGAGCTGTAATTTTAGTGCAATGAACTTTCATGAAAAAACTTCTTTAGTTTCAGCCCACTAATTCGGGATTTGTGATAATTTAATGTGATAGGTAGAATTGAAAAATTACAAAGGCTTCTTTAAGTGAAATCTTAACACTGACATTCAAGGAAAATATTGGTGGTAATGGAGAATAATAGAGTTTAATTTTATGTTACTGAGTACGTGTCATGAAACTTCCTTTGTAAAGAGCAGATAGTAAATATAGTTAAATTGCCTTGAGAGCCATATGGTCTCTGTTGCCACTACTCTACTCTTCTAAAGCAGCCATAGACAATATGTAAACAAAAGAGTGGGGCTGTGTTCTAATAAAACTACAAAAGCAGGCGGCAGTCTGGATTTGACATGTTAGCTGAACTCTGTTACAGAGAATCTTGTAATTTCTGCAACTATAAGCTAAGATTTATTAATGATGAAATGTTATTTATACAGAGTAGATCTATTGAATGTTTTGGCCAGGACAAATTTGCCAACAGGATAGCAATATCATAAAGGAGAATGGAAATGGTACCTAATAGCAAAAATACTTTCTCATGACTACTTAATTACTTTGATATTCCAGAATATACTTATTCACTTATCTCTTAGTTTTTAGTTTTTTAAATCTTGAAAAACAACTCTGCAGTTTGGAGTTTTCACTAATTCTGATAAGCTTTCTTTCCTTTATCATAATTAGGAAGAGTGCTGTAAAAAGACATGACACATAATTGGGTGATTTTATTTTACTGAATTTATTTTGAAAAGTGGTATCAGTAGCTACACTTAGATCACAGCTTATTGTGTAAAGATGTACAGTTGAACTGTAAGTTCAGAAATATAGTACTTTGTTTTCAATGTCACATTTTATAGATTTCTTATAAGCAGCTTTGAAACTACAATGCTTTTTGGAGATGCAAAATTTTAGTAAATATAAATTGTTTGTGATATTGGTTAATATGATATATTGGAAATTAAGTCTAGTATATACTTAACTCTTCTCAGAGATTCGTCAGCGAACTGCAGCTCAAAGAAACCTTTCTCCAACACCAGCAAGTCCTAACCAGGGCCCTCCTCCACAAGTTCCAGTATCTCCTGGACCACCAAAGGACAGTTCTGCCCCTGGTGGACCCCCAGAAAGGACTGTTACTCCAGCACTACCATCAAATGTGTTACCAAGACATCTTGGATCCCCTGCTACTTCAGTGCCTGGAATGGGTAAACAGAGCACTTAATGTTATTTACAGTTTATATTGTTTTCTCTGGTTACCAATAAAACGGGCCATTTTCAGATGGTATGGAAATGGCATTTCATTTGAAAATAGCAGAGCAGTTATCTGATTAAGCAGGAGTTCCATATTCAATTAGCCATAACTCTTTACAGCTGGCACCTTGTGATACTGAAACCTATTTCTTGAGCTCATTTAACTGTTATGGCTTCTTTGTTTAAATGGCAATAAAACTTTGTAGTAGTATTCTGTAGTCAACAGTATAGCATATCTTTTTATATTCAACTTTAGAATGCCTCCAGATTTATATAAAATGGGGATAGAAGAAAACACTTTTGGAATGCATTCATGTTTTTTGGCTAAACTCCGTACATATATTTTTAAACATGACAACATATTTTAGGAATAATACTCTTATATTGTGGTATACAATATTACTTTTGTTAATATGGGCATAGAACTTTAGTATTTTCTGATACTTTATAAAGTTCTATTAAATGAATATATTCTCTTTATTTCATAGATTCTCTTTTCACTGTGGTGGATCTCTAGAGGAAGATCCCATTCTGAAGCGTAATAGACTATAGTACCCTGCAGTTTCTTTTGGAGTGTGATTGGGGCATGGAAGTCCATTGCTTTAGTGCAGATCACATTGTTTGATGTAGATTTACAAGTCATATTGTTGAATGTGATAGTAAATTTTTTTTAGATTATTTAATTCTAATGTAGATTACTTTTTTATTTCATGACTAATTACTGATATATAATTTATAAGGATTTTGAGGCTAGGTAGTAGCTGATATCAGGTAACCAGAGCATTTGTGTAGTAAAATCAATAAAAAATAGAAATGTTACTTAGTACAGTAGATGTTTTTCTTTTCCTTCAAAAATGCAGTGTAAGATTTTAGAAAACTAAAAAACTGTTTATTTACTAGCAAATTAAGAATACTGACTATAAATGAAATGTATGCAAATCTTAAAACTTTAAAAATAGTTATGTAAAATAATACTTTTAAATTTGATATATAATGACAATACTTAAGGCAGCCATATATTTTATAAAATGAGAAAAGTTAAATTGATTGAAAATTACTAATCTTTCAGTTGTTATCTGGTGGATTTAAGATACCCATGATTTGTAAATAGAGATTCCTGGTTATTTAATGAAATAACTTTTTTAGGTGCGAATGTATGGATTATATACATTTTTATATCTAACTTATTTTAAGAAAAAAGTTTACAATCTATAGTAATAAAAACTGTATTGCCCATGTAGGAATAGGGCTATAGAAGGAATAATAGCCTAGATTTTATGATCGTGTAAATATAACATGTTTTACTAAAATTTTTAATTAGTTTCTGTGTGACTATGTTTAAATTGTACATTGCCAAAGATGTGAATGAGTTAAATAATTTATTATAAAGAAGATTAATAATTAATTTTTTCTTTATGCCATATTTGTGGAAGAGAATCAATTTAACATGTATTACCACAGGGCTCCCATATGTTTGAAAATTAATAACCAGCAGGTACTTGATAATTTGCCAAGCTGTGTAAAAATGACCAGTATTCCTACAATGATTGCTTTTGATGTTTGTATTAATTACCATTGTCTAGAACAGCATGAATATAAAGATGCATGTGTAAGAGCTTTAAGATATTTTTATGAAATCTGTTATTTCATGTATCCAGATTCTTTTGTGGGTATGTTCACTTTAAATATGTAGAAGTAAAATACTCTAACAAAAGTTAAGTTGGCTTAAATGCTTTCCAAATCTAATTTGGCTTGCTTATTCAAGTTGAAAATCTGATAATGAGGGATGACCATGTCTGAATTCAAGTTTATTTCTTGATGATAATAATTGAATGTTGTTAGCACAAATAAACCAATAACTTAGCTTATGGAATTTTTTTTTTTTTTTTTTTTTTTT